GCCAATGACACCAAACTGTGTGGTTCTGTTGATACGCTGGAGGGAAGGAATGCCATCCAGAGGGACCCTGATGTGCTCGTGAGGTGCCGGGCTGATGGCAACCTTAAGAGGTTTAACGATGCCAAGTGCAAGGTCCTACAGCTGGGTCAGAGCAATCCTGGACCCAGCTACAGGTTGGGCAGAGAGGAGATTCAGAGCAGCCCTGTGGAGAAGGACTTTGGGGTGTTGGTCGATGAGAAAATGAACCCTGGAGGGAAGGAATGCCATCCAGAGGGACCTTGACACACTTGTGAGGTGGGCTGATGCCAACCTCATGAGGTTTAACCATGCCAAGTGCAAGGTCCTACACCTGGGTTGGGGCAATCCCAGGCACAGCTACAGGTTGGGCGGAGAAGAGATTCAGAGCAGCCCTATGGAGAAGGACTTGGGGGTGTTGGTCGATGAGAAAATGAACATGAGCCGGCTTCAGTGTGTGCTTGCAGCCCAGAAAGCCAACCGTATCCTGTGCTGCATCAAAAGGAGCGTGACCAGCAGGTGGAAGGAGGTGATCCTGCCCCTCTACTCTGCTCTCCTGAGACCTCACTTGGAGTATTGTGTGCAGTTCTGGTGTCCTCAACATAAAAAGGACATGGAACTGTTGGAACAAGTCCAGAGGAGGGCCAAGAGGATGATCAGGGGACTGGAGCACCTCCCGTATGAAGATAAGCTGAGAAAGTTGGGCTGCTCAGCCTGGAGAAGAGAAGGCTGTGTGGAGACCTCATAGCAGCCTTCCAGTATCTGAAGGGTATGCTGGGGAGGGACTGTTCATTAGGGACTTGTCCTGTCCCCCATTAGGACAAGGGGTAACGGGTTAAAACAGAGGAAGTTTAGATTGGATATAAGAAAGAAGTTCTTTACTGAAAGGGTGGTGATGCACTGGAATGGGTTTCCCAGGGAAGTTGTGAATGCTCCATCCCTGGTGGTGTTGAAGGCGAGGTTGGACAGAGCCTTGGGTGACATGATTTTGTGTGAGGTGTCCCTGCCCATGGTAGGGGGGTTGGAACTTGATGAACTTAAGGTCCTTTCTAGCCCTAACTATTCTATGGTAGTTGCTAATTAGTTTAAACAGGACAGGTGAATGTGGTGAGATTTAAGTGGTCTTTGCTAGGTCCAGTGTTATTTGCCATTGATGATGGGGGTAAAGGAAAGAAGACTGCTTATTAAATACCCAGATGAAACTGAGTGGAGCTGTATGTCTGTTTGAGAAGATGCTTTGAATGTACAGTTGTTTGACACATGAAGAAGGAGTCTAGGAGGAGGGGTTGAACAGGGCTGAGCAGGGGGCTGAGAAGTAGCTGTGATGGGAGGGTCTGGTGTCTACACTGGCAGACTGGGAGCGATGGGCCCAATAGCAGTGATTGTTTATGGCCAGGACATGAGGCAGCAGTTGTGTTGCAAAAGCAGCCACACTGGAGTTCACTCACAGTATTATTATATGTGACTCACAAGACGGTAAATAATGGTTTTCTGTAACAAGGAAAAAATGTTTTACGTCTAGGGAAGGGTTCAGCTGGAAGACTTCACCCAGATTTGGGCATCACAACCTTGCAGTGGTTTTGTGCACCAGCACGAGAAAGGTGGTGGAGAGCAGCAACTAGAAGGATCAGAAATATTGAAAACGTGGCCTATGAGCAGAGGGTGAAAAATGGAGTTTTATTTAGTCTGGAGAAAAGACTAAGGCGTACTAATTGTTCAAGCATGAAGTTAACTGTGTAAAGAGGAAAGGGGTAATCTCTTCCAGGGTCCAGTGCAAAGAGAGACTTGGTAAAGGGCTTGAGCTCTGTCAGGGGAGATGTGTGCTATAAGTGCTGGAATGTGCTTTCTAGCAGTGGAAGGGGCACACCTGGAGAGGATGTGGAGCCTCTGCTATGCAGTCTGAGCTCTTGGTCCCATCTTGGTGCGCTTTTCCAGCACCCAGGCCGATCTTTTCTCCTGAGTCCCTCTCTTATTGAAAATGGCAGTGAAGCGTGCAGGATGGTTAAGGAGAGAAGCATGAAGCGCTGTTCCAACCAGCACGGTTCTTGTTTTGGAGGCTTGGCTGTTGGCAAGTACTATGGTAAATTACAGAGGGAATGATAGTATAACAGTAGTGATAACTGCAAAAATAGGTCTTTGTTCCAAATGGCTTTCTGTTGTTAAAAGTTGTGTTTTAAGAAATAAATCTTCCTGATGCTTTTTTTCCCCTGGTGATGCTTAGTTTCCAGGCAGTATTTATGAAAAGCTACTGTGCATTTCCAGGGTCTTTTTTTTTTTTTTGTCTTTTTTTCCTTTTTTTTTTTTCTGTGTCTGCATTGTCCTTTAGTTTCCTTAAATATTTTTTTTTCTCTTTTCTGTTTCTCCGCACCACAGTTTCTGGTGCTGCCTTCATGCTTTTTCAAATGCACACCAGGAGTAGAAATTTGGGGTCTGTTGACACAGTACGTGCAGAGAGGAGGGCGAGTGTCTCCAGCGTGATCCTTACCCTGCTCCTGAACTTGCTCTTGATGGAGAGATTTGGGGGGTTAGCACCCTTCTAGGCTGTGGAGCACTCTTCTGTTTGTTCTTTTCACCTGCTAGGGAAGAGTTCCCTGCTCGTTAACTTGAGGTGATTTAATTTAGTGTTTCAGAATCAATATGTTAAGACTGGCTTTCAAAAAAAAATAAAAGGAGAAAAGGGGGGAATGGTAATTTGTGATGTCAGCTCTATCTTTCATGTTATCTTGTGTATTTATATATGGTTGTGAACTAAATCAAGTTGGGACTGAAGATTGTGACTGTAGTGTAAGGGTTAGAGAAAGAAAAGATTTTTAGTTGAACCTTTTGGTATTTCAGAGTTCATCTTGGCATTTAACTGAGCAAACAAATGTGTTTTTAATGAGGAGTTCAAAAATATAATAGTTTTGTGGTTCAGCGGGGAGGCAAAAGCTGTGGTTTTGTTCACACTTAAAAGTTGTAGGCTGTGTTGCATTTTAATGATGTCATTTGGGCTGCCACGACCAGGACTTTGCTTGTGTTTCTATGGAAAACTTACATTAAAGGGCTTCAGTTGGGACTCTAAAAAATTAGGCCTTAATGAAACGTCTCATAAGAAGAATTTGTTCGAAGTCATGCTTGAAAATTTGATCCAGCCACTCACTCATTCTTTACTTTGTATCTTCCTTTGCTCTCCCTTCCCCAGTGCGTTTTGTGGGTGAGGTTCTCGGCATTTCTTAGCCAGAGGGTAGAAGCAGCATTAGTACCAGTGTTTTGTGGCAGAGCAGCAGTGGGCTTTTAGCACAAGTCCCTCTCGTCACCACCTCTCACTGTGTTGTGTGTCAGCTCAGCAAACCATGTTTCTGCTGCACACGAGCTGAGTCCCTCTGGATAGAGACTGGAGGCACCCATCGATGCCAAGTGCATTTTGTCTCCTGCTCACGGACCCTGTGATCGCTTCAGGCCATGCATGTGGTGGTGGCAGCAGTGGTGTATATCTGCTTATCTCCAGTTAAAAACTCGACCCACATAGTGTGATTCATGTTTTGGCAACCTTGGCTGTGGTACTGCTTTGATCTACAGATCTTCTAGCATTGCTCAAAATTAATTGCTTAATGTGGGTTATAGCCAGAGACTGTATAAAGGAGATGGAAAGAGGAAACTGGGTTGATACAAAAAAAAATGCTCAAAGATAAAAAACCTAAAGACAAAAAACTCAAAGACAATTTTGCCAAAACCTTACAATTTTCTAAGGTCAGCATACAGGAGCTATAATATACTGTGTGTTCCCCTACCCCCGCAATTGGAAGGAAACATTTTCCTTTGATGCCACAGCCAAAGTTGAGCAACAATAGTTGTACTAAGTAATAGAATCTGTGCCACTCCTCAGTGGATGGGTGGTGGTATCCTCTTCTTGTGCTGCAGATGGGTGGAGAAGCAGAAACGTTACAGCATGGTGCTGACGCTTGGGCCAGAAACTGCCTTATTTCAGTTAGAAAGACATTGCCATCCCCTCCTCCCCCTTTTATTCTTCTTCTGGCAGGGTTTGCAGTTATCAGTTCCTTGGTTTTTACTTGAATTTCTGCTTTCTAATACTTTGTTCCCCAGCTTGTAGCAGTCCTGTTTTTGTTAGCTTTTTATTCTAAGGCATGGGGTGGACTGCCTGCCAGGACAGACACTGGTCTAACTGCTGACATCTCTGAGGAGTGCTGCAACTAAGCTGTTGGGTGTAACGACTTTAATGCTTTTGCCATGTCCATTACAATAGGACACAAACCATACATGTGCATAATGCTGCAGGAGGTGAATGCGGGCAGTTGGTGGAGAGAAAAATTCCTTCTATTCCCATATTTGCTGTTGCTCAAGGCTGAGAACTAGATTAAAAAGGGCGAGTAAGCGGAATCCCTGCCAGGGAAGCTGAACTATCCAGGATTGTCAAGGAGAGGTTTGAAGGAATGTCTTGAGGAATTAAAGCAGGAGCCATAGGGAGCTTTCCCTCTATACTTGTCCTCCCCCTCCCTCCCCCCCATGAATTTATAAGCATGCTCAGTTCATAGAAGGCCCTCTAGAAGGAAGAAACCATTGGTGTATTTGGAGAAAGCAGCTCCTTAAGTCAGCTGAATAAGCGTGCAGCATCTACTTGAACTTTTTTTGTTATTCCCCAAACAAGATAGAGAAAATGCTAATTAAAGTTCTGTTTTGTTGGTATTGGTAAAGTTGCTTCCCATTTGTGTTAAGAGGAAGGCAAAACCAACTTTAAGATTATTGTTATGAATTTACTTTTAGTTGTAGTATGTGTATATATAGCTGATGTATTTCATTTTTTCATATATTAAGTTAGAATGATGGGATTTAAGGCTTTAGATTATGGATATATCATTTGCTTGAGAAAATTGCAGTAAAAATATAATACACCCTTCACTTACTTGCCAAAAATTAAGCTGTAGCTCAGACATGAAATGCCTGATGTCACTCCTGCTACGTAAGTAGCACTCCTTTCATTTTTTCAGGAGCTTGTGATGTCATAAGCTGAAGCGAAAACATCTACCTCATGACCTGGCATGTAAGTGAAGGAGGAACTGATACTTAAAGAACCCTAAATATGTGCGTGTTGGTGTTTACAATGTGTAAATTGAACCTGTATACCTTCAACATTCAGATATTGCCCTTTAAATGAAAGCTTTGTGGATTTTAAAGGAGTATAAAGTCCTTTTAAAGGAGAGGAAGTCATAAAAGAAGCTGTTAACAATGAGGTTCCAGCCTGCAGAGCTCCTTGTAATAATTTCAGTTAAAATCTATCTTTACGTATCCTGTAATGCTTGGAAGGCTAGTAGGCATAGACAGAGTAATTTTATCTTACCACAATATTTACATGTGCTGCTTCTAGTCCTTTTCATTCTGTGCTGCTTCTCTGGATATAAATTTTGATAGTTGTGATGAATACGTCCTGTACCCAGTGATACCCTTTCTAAAATTAAAAACCGCTTGTGCACAAGGTTTAGGTGCTTTTATGTGCTCAGATGCTTCACAGTAAACTTCCTGCAGCTTTGTGACACTTCTATATTCTTTTTTTTTTTCCCCTTAAGTAAGCAAAAATATTTCAATCCTCTGCAGAGGCATTTTCAGAGCCTTTTTTGTCTGCCCGCTTTCTGCTTTTCTTTTGTGTGGCTTAAAGGATTAAAGTGCAGTCATGGCTTTGAGGGCCTGATGTCAGCAGTGAGCTGGGTATTCCTAATTAGTGCTAACACCTGTACCTCATTATGAAGCCTTGTTCAAGCTGTCCAAGTGAACCAAGGTAGCCGGTCTCTGTTGCACGTCTCTAATGTGATTATAAAACCCTCTCCTGATGCAAGTTTTATTACTTATTCAACTTTGGGATTGATGTGGAAAGTGAAGCTAAGCTGAGCCATTTGGCTGGCTACCAAAGATCATAAGGAATGGCAAAGAGAAGAGATGCAGTCATCTCGGTTTCAAGACTTGTAGTTCAAAGCTTGCTTCTGCTTTGACTGTTAAAAAAGAAAGGGGGGGGGGAGTGTTTTTTTTCTAATTTTCAGTGTCAGATACTCTGAATTTAGAAACCAGATCTACAGACTCCAGCTGAGCTCTGAACATCTCAGTGCAGTTGCTATTGTGCATAACCGATTGATTTTCTGCAAATAGAGCTTTGGCCTTGACTACTCTTGCACCATCACTTTGTCTTTTAGGGGTCAGTGTTTAGAGATTCCTTTCTATACAAAACCAGCATCGGCCTCTCCTCCCACCTAATTCTGTGCTGTTAGCAGGGCTGTAATACAATGTGTTGTGCCATTGCAGTTGGAAAGTATGACCTCAGACAGATTTGACTAATAAAATTAAAGGCTTAGGTGAAACGGGTCACTGTCATGTTTGGGCTTTGCAGGCAAAATTTTAAGCATGGTTACTTTTTTTTAGGTAGTTTCAGTAGATTTTTAAGGGTTTAGCTTATAGAATTCAGGCACACAGTGCTGGCTGCAGGTTCTGGGTTATTTCCCTGTGAGGGAGGAGAGAGGGTAAGTTGAGATGTGTGTCTTGGAAAGGTTTTGGGTAATAAACCTGTAAGAATTCACATGAGAACGTTGTGCTAGTTATTCTGATTTGGAAAAATGAAAGAAAATGGCAGTTTAGTGAAGTCTTAAACTTCAAACATGGAGTTGAAAGTCTAGTTATTAAAGGGGTTGAAGCCTTGCAGAGTAGAAGAGAACCCAAAAGAAAAGCCTGAATGGATAGTGCCCTAAGGTGCGTGTAGGCTGTATTTGCACAGAGTGTTTATTAATTTCTCTTTAAGAAAAGAAAAAAAAGGCAGCAACTCCAACACACTGAGAGTGAGCTAATCTTATATTTAATCATTATGACCAAAATAGCTCTCTACAGTGAACAGCGATTAACAAATTCTTCAGGGAAACAGCATGTCGACTGTCAGAACCCCTGGTGGTTGTGCTCATCATAATCAATATCTTGTCTGATAAACACACTCATTTCAGTATTTACCATGTTCCTATGGACCATCTATCTGACCTGTAGTCCAGAGAGGTCAGGTTGGGAACTGGTAGATTAAGAAAATAAAATCCACTGCACAGAGGTGAATTGTTATGAGCAAGTCTGGTTTCGGATGAGCTCCTTTACTGAATTAGGCCAATTACTGTCTCTGATAATGGTCAATAGAAGACACCTAGGGAAAGAAAGCATTAAAAAGCTCATATAGACTCTGTTTCTTGTAAAATTTTGACTTTGGGATTTCCAGCAGATTGACATGACATATTGTGTTTAATAGCCCTTGTCCTCCATTTGCCTAATTCTCTTCAATCTGTTTATTTTTAAACCTCTGCAACATCCCATAGCATTGAGTTTCTCCAAGTAATTTTGTACTAAGTGACTTTTTTCTTTTAACGACTCTAGTTCAAAGTTTGTTCCATAACTGTGTATCCCTTGTCTTCTGCACCATGAGCAGCAGTGAGCGTCTCCATCCTGTTTGCTGTTTCTTAACCACTTATGGCAGCTCTCTCCTATTCTGCATCTTCCTTTCTCAGCTGGGAAGTCTCAGTTCGTTTAATCTTGTGCCCTAAGGCCATTGCATGCTTCTCTTGCAGCTGTAGTTGGAGGTTCATGTTCTGCAAATACTTTTTCTTCAGTGGTGCCCCTCCAGAAGGTACTTCCTTGCCCTTAGCCCAAATGAGTTACCTACTACTGTTGCTCGTCCATAAAGCTTTCTCTTATGTGGCTCAGCAGGTGCAGCAAATGAAATCAGACGGGCTTGTATTGATGTTTGTTGCTGCTGGTCTTGCACCTCTCTTGTATAGGTGCAGAGCTCTCTGTGCTGTTAGTTTCTGCTACAGCTCACCTTGGAATACCCAAGGACCTGGTTTTTAAAGGCATTTTATGAATGTGTTTGTTTTCACCACCTTAAGGCCTTTCAGAAGCATCCCATAGGCACTGTGGCATGGCTGTGCATGTTAACTGGGAGCCATAGTTGGTGTTGAGGTAGGCAGCTCAGTGTCCCTGGCAGGGGTGTCCGAAGGAGCAGATGGACCATGCCTGGGCTGCTCCTGGGTCACAGCTTCAGTGTGAACAACTGGTCACTGTTGCAGAGCTGAGGAAGTGGATGAGTAGTCTCAGGTGGCTTTATTCTGCCCAAACACAGGTTAAGACATGTCTTCTCTCAGTTGCAGACCCTTGATAACAAATACAGCTGCAGCCTGCCCTGTGCCCTGCAGCTGCACAGGGTAAGAGCCTGCAGAGAGGGGGACTTCTTTACAGGTTCATAAAACTTCACTGACCAACTGGAGTTGCATATACAAAACGTATTGACTGTGCAGGTTTTGCATTGTGTTGTGGAGTTTTGAGAGTGACTCTGCTGTAAAGGTGGTTTTGTTTTGTTCAATTTTATAGTTGCGCTTTTAATTGTAACCTCTCCCTCTTTCTCAGCAGAGACTTTATTACTGCTCTTGATAGCATGTGATTCAGTTGCAGCATGTTGTGGGTTCTTACCTATGAATAAAGATGTGGTGAAACACCTCCCTGCCTTCATGGTTTGTAGGCATTTTCATTCTTTCCAGTACAGAGGTGGAGAGTGGATGAAGTGACCTGCTTTGGAGTCAGATTCATTATCTCACACCCCTGCAGCTTTGGAAGGTCAGTTGTGATAGTTCCTTGTCCTCATAGGATGGAAAGGATAGTATTTTTCTGTACTTTCTCACTCCACCTATTCAAGTACAGCTGGTGTTTGTGATCCACCCTATGGGTTGGCACCTTTTTTCCTGTGCCAAAAAAAGCCACCTCCATCCACTTGCTTGGCTTTAGCACAGCTCAAGTAAGGACATGCTTTCCACAAAAGGGTGGGGGTCTAGTCTTACTCATTTTAATCTTGTTTATTTAGTCAAGAATGGGGGGGGGAAGGAGGGAGGAATTTGGGGTAGTGTTAATGGTCAGTGTGGCCCCTCATCAAAAAACCAGGAAAGTGCTTCAGCTTGGCTCTTTGGTAGGAAACTGAACTTTATGTGGTCTTTGAGAAAGCAGTCAAGTGATGCATCCTAAACAAGATGTGGCAATTTAGAAACCTTGGGCAAATACAATCATTCTTTAGTTCCCCTTTCCAGGGTGGTGTCAGCCCCAGTGAGTAAGTTTGCTGTCTATTTTGTCATTGCTGCATTTTGCGTTACAATGGGGGGGGGGGGGGGGGGAAGAGTAATTTTTCTTTTTGCCTCTGCTCTGTACATAAAAATGGACAAACATTATTTGGTCACAGTATCATTTTCATAATGTCTTCTCCCACCTCAGTTGGGTGATTTAGAGAAACCTGGAATTTTACTTACTTTTTTATAAAGCTGTTTTAAATCTGTTGGCCTAAAAGAGTCCTGAACATCATTGGTGTGTTGTAGTATTGTAGATTGTAGCACATAACATGAAATTAATTGACCTTCCATTAAAATTAATTTAAATTCATTACTTATTAAGGCGTTTTTTTGTCTCTTTAGAAAGTTTTTCAAACTAAAAAAGTGCTTTAACAAGTCTAGTAAATCTTTGTTCATGTTGTGATGTTTTGACACAGAGAATTAAATACTGCAGTTGCATATGTGTTGTGTGAAATGTGAGAAAATGTAGTAGGATGTTAGTATTCAACTAGTGATTTGGAATATTCCAAGTATTATTTTGAGTTCTGGCTGTGACAGTACTTCCCCTTTAAATGTTCCTGCCCAGTGATCCCCTTGGTGCCCTTTTTCTTACTTGAAGAAAACTTCAGCATCCAGATTGTTTATTTTCAGCTTGTGAATGAAAACCATTTCTTGTCCGATGAGGAAACAAGTCATCAACTTCATGTTTCCTATAGGAAAATATTTGTGTTCTTACTTTGTTATCCTTTGAGTAGAATATAAAGATGCAGCTTGCTGTTTTTTGTAATCCTTCAGGCTTTGTTAGTGATATAAAGCTTTGCAGCGAAGTTGTTAGCCTCTTCAAAGTATTATAACCAATAAATAAATGAGTCAAAAGAGGTAACATATTTAATGCATTCTACTGCTGTTGATTCTTTTATTGTTTGAGACTTAGGAG